TAGTTAGGGTGTCTGAGAGCTATTCAAATACAGGATGGGGAGTGCTCGGCATGATCAGGTGGTTGTTATTTTTATGCACAGAGCTTTGTTCTTTACATAATATATATTATTTTTTAAATTTTATTTATTTTTATATTAATTACAATTTATTCACTTTCTATCCCAGATGTAGTACCATCCCTCATTCTCTCCCAATCTCTCCCTCATCTCCTCTCATGCCTCCTCCCCAGTCCACTCATAGAGGAAGTCCTCCTCCCTTCCATCTGACACTTTTAGGTCTCATCAGGACTGGCTGCATTGTCTTTCTCTGTGGCCTGGTTAGGCTGCCCCCCCTCGGGGGAGGTGATCAAAGAGCCAGCCACTGAGTTCCTGTCAGAGACAGCCCCTGTTCCCCTTACTAGGAACAACACTTGGATACTTCTTAGAGGACTGAAGGTGAAAGATGTATCCTGAGCATGGAATACAAGACCAGACTGCCCAGGCATCAGACTGAGACAGTCTAAGGACAGAGATAAGCCAAACAGGGCTCTGACTGATGAGGTCTGGAACTTGTCCTCTTAGGAATACGCAGAGCTTCCATCAGAGTCTGTCCAGCACGCAGCAGTAAGCAACTCTGAAGATGAAACACAAGTGCACCATAGAGATACTTTGAGGATTTATTTTGAGGAACAGAAGAAGACCCTGAATGTGGTCACGCATGGGGATTTGTGTTAAGAGTAAATAATTCAATGTAGAGTGTAAGGCTGGTGTTAAACTCCCCATCTGTGATTATTGGTCCACAGGGGGTTGTAGAAGGCAGCACTCTGGGAAAAAAAGAGAGCGATGCATCACTCTGTATTTTAAACATAAATTTTAAATGCTTCATTTTCTATTATTGATTATAAAAGAAATGTTAGGAATTGATGACATCGCTGAAGATTCCTGATTTGTGACAATGTTATGTCATAGCCTGCTGTCATTCAATGATGTCAGCCTCTTACTGCTCCTAACAATTCAAATGTAGACAAAGTACACATGCTGAATTCAAAGCTTAAAAAATTGCTCAGTAATCTATAAGGTAAAGAAATAGTGATGTTTTTCTCTTGGTTTTCATTCACTAAGTTTTTACATCTGTTATTTAAAACTCTATACTGCTTTTCACAGTGAGTCAACCAAAGGAAGGGAATATGAAGCCATATGTGCAGATACTACTAACACATGTTCAGTGTGCCCGGGTGTGTGTGCATAATAACAAAAGATCTCATTCCTTCTTTTTTCACCACCTCCATTTTCACAAAGAAAAAATTAAAAACTCTTGGTTTTAAGAAGTTTTCTGGAATTATTAACACGTATTACAAAATCAATATGTATTTTTGTGATAAACACATAGTAGTTGTGTATAGTAAAATTCATAGGGTAAAGCGGGACATTTATTTTCATTTATTTTGAGAGAGAGTCTTATTAAACCTAGCTGGCCTGGAAGTTGATATTTATCCAAGAATGCCACAACCAATCCTCAAGTTCTGGGATTACATGCTTGCTACCACTTACTTACATGGTGCTGGGGATCAAACCCAGAGCTAAGCAAGCACATCACCAACTCAGCTACAGCTTTAGCTGATTCAGGAAAGTGGAGTAGCTGTCTGAAGTCATTCTACTCTGCTGCACAATGGTGAACACTTCCCTCTGCCTAATTGTAACCTGTTCCTTCAACACTATCCCCATCCCTCTCTCCTCAGTACTGTAGGCTTGATCAATTGATATTTTATTCTCTACAGCTCTGACCCCAAGTTTCTACTGTCCACAAATAAGTGGGATATGAGTGCCCTCTTAAGGCAGCAGTGAAGATGAGAGACTTACCTGTCTGTCTGTGCCTCACTTATTTCCTGCAACACAATGGTTTTTCTATCTTTATTGCTACAAATGATATTATTTGTTCCTTTTATATAGGTGAATAATATCTCATAACATGCGTGTGTGCATGCGTGCACAAACACACACATGCACCACTCAGATTTTCTTTATCCACTCATCCATGATGAGAAAATAAAGTTAACAAATATCTTGGCTCATATCAGTAGTACTGCCAAAACCATGAGGAATCAAATACCACTTTGAGAAGATGGTTTCTATTTCTTGGGGGCACATGCACTGTGTGGAGAAGAGAGTGAAGTTCTATTTCTATTCATAAATATGTAGAGGAAATTTTGAAGAAAATATGTATAGCCAGTGTCTTCGTTTATTTTTTCAGCTTACTAATAAGAGGTTTTTGCTTATCTGAATCCTCATACCTAAGAGTTCTGTGTTAGCTGATGTATCATTTCACTTCTCTTTCCCACTGTTTCCATTTGTAATGGAGAAGAACACAGCACTCCTTCATAGGGCCACCAACAGCATTAAAGCAAGTCTTCTGATAAAGCTTGTCGAGTATTTGAGAAATCTCCAATGGCTCTGAAACACTGATATTAACCTATCAGTGAATGTTAATAATGGCTGACTTAAGCTGACTCCAAGCTCCATGAGAAGACGACTCTTTGAAAGCATTATTTTGGTGTTACCTGTCAACAATTTCAATTTCTTTTTTGTTTGTTTGTTTGTTTGTTTTGAAGTTCCCTTATTAGAAATGAAATGTAATTATTGAAGTCACAATCTACTGTGTGATTTTGCAGTTCGTAAAAACAATTAGTATCATTTGCTTGTGCACAGAGAGTCAGCCAAATATGATATCTAAGGTTTCTTTCTTCTATTGCAATACATCTCAGTCAGCCTTTGTATCTGGGTCCTAAATCAATAGCCAATCACAAAAAACACACAGAATGTAGCAAATGTTTTATTTTAGAGTCTGAAAGCGCATAACTATTATAGAGTGAAGGACTGACAGGGTCCATTCTCCCCATTCTGTACCCAGATGAGGAAATGCAAACAAAGGCTGCCTCTCCAGACCTTTAACCCACATACACATCTGCCCCACTCCTGTGGGACAGGAAGCCCCAGAGCTGCTGAGAACTGGAGCAAACCATGACCAACCCTGGTGGATCCACTGACCCTGCATTTTCTTTCCTGAGACACTAGGACAGCCCCACCTCCCAGCTGGCAACCTGAGACTCCAGCTCACAGACCACTTCCTCCTCCTGGTGAAGCAGCCTGACCTTTGGGATGCTGCTCCTGAGGGGATTTGCCTTCTCCTGCCTCTGGGTTTGTAAGTAGACATGTTCTTCTGCAGGAGGCTTTGAGGTCATCCTCATTTCCACTTCTTCAAAACAGGTTCTGTTTGTTCATGAGACTTTTTCTCTTTGCTTGCAGTTGGACTCGGGCAGCCGGAACAAACTGAAATGTCAGTCACTGGACTGACAGGTGAGAGTGTCCAAATACCCTGTAAAGTTTCTCTCCCAGATTTTGACAAAATAGATATACACTGGTACCGTCACAAAACAAAGCAACAGTTTGAGTATCTAATATATGTCAGAATGGAGTACAATCAACGCCCCTTGGAAGGGAAGAAAAAGAAAATTGAAGGCACTAAAGACTTTGTAACTTCTACTTCAACCTTGAAAGTAAATTTCTTGAAGAAGGAGGATGAAGCCACCTACTACTGTGCAGCCTGGATATTAGCACAGCATTAGAGCTTCTAGAGCAGCCTGCACAAATACCACCCCCAGCTGTGACCCCACCCCCATCCTTCTGGGCAACCTCAGACACCTGCTGCTCAGCTGAGGGGCCATCTGACCCCCCTTTTTCCCATAGGGCTTTTGGGGTTTCCAGGCATCATCTTGTGTTTTATTCCCCCAGTGAGGTCCTAGGTCCTATGGATTGCCTACTGAAGGCAGGAGAGCCCCACACTATTTCCTATGTAGTTAGGGTGTCTGAGAGCTATTCAAATACAGGATGGGGAGTGCTC